CTTCCTTGTCCTTCTTGATGTGGGTCCCCCATTGAAGTTGGGTTATTTAAAATCTGTAATCCAAATTGTACCTCATCAAAGATATTATATATTTGTAGTTATCCTTTGATTTGATCCAATAGTTGTAGCAGAGGTAAATAACCAACCACACCACACAGCCCAGTGGAGGTAGCTGTGAGAGCCATAAGGGTGTGACAGACATGACTCACTCCCAACAGCTGGTGTCAGATAGCAACCTCCTTATCATCTAGCCCATGTTGTGGCTGGTAGCCAGTCTTCCTAGCTGCCACCGGCCCATGTTGTGGCTGGTAGCCAGTCTTCCTAGCTGCCACCGGCCCATGTTGTGGCTGTTAGCCAGTCTTCCTAGCTGCCACCGGCCCATGTTGTGGCTGGTAGCCAGTCTTCCTAGTTGCCACCAGCCGCATCTATCATAGAGCAACATCATTTCACCCTGTTCAGACCAATTTAGTTCACTTTGTACCTACTGTAGGGCCATTTTTTTTTAGCTTATCAAACAATTCCTTTTTTTTCTTCATCTTTTTACTCCCAGGCAACTTCATGATAGGTAAATAGACAACTGCTATTGATTCAATGAAGCAAATAATGTAACAATCAGATGAGAATACTCTTAACATTTTGCTACTCCCCCTGACACAGGGCTGCATATTAGTTCTGTCACTCATCCAGTATTATCATTGAAGTTTGATAGGTTTAGCCCTGCAAGCTCCATCTGGTGCTGTTGGTCCAAGACTGTTGAATAGATATTAGCAGCTAACCAGCCTATCTGATCGCCCTATCAGCTGCCACCTGGTTGGATTCAGCTCTGCATCATACCTCAAGGAAGAATACACGGTTTAAAATCCAATATTGCCATTGTGTAGTTCATAAACATACTTGTCTGACTCCAATGTTGATGCAAATCCTGTGAAGGGCCAATTTGCAGGGTTACAGATAATGCAATTATACCAAAATTTCTATAAGGTTGTCCCAAAAGTTTGTAAACACTTGCAAAAAATTGAAATACCAATATTATTCGCCATTATGTATAATGTCTTTGTATTATGTATAAAGTAATTGTATTATTATGTATTCTCCATAATATTATTCACCAAGTAATAAGAAAAACAACAGTTGCAGGTGTTCACAAACTTTTGGGACAATCTTTTATTTAGGCTGAAATCACACAACTCGGTAGAATGCAAGTTTTTTAGAACAATAAGTCCCATGTAACAAAAATCCTAAAAAAATGGCATTTAAATTGAATCAAGAGCATTATAGAAACAAATCATGGAGAAGATCAATATAGAGCAGGTAAGGGAGGACACAAGGGATACCATTTTTGGGATAAGTCAATGATGTTAACATACTTAGAGATTGAACCAGGGTTGCTAGTTTATTTAATTTTATATATATATTTATAAACTTACTATTACCATCTATCGATAAAATTTATAAGAATTATTTTTTTGGTAATGCATTTTTTTTACCTAAATCATAAAATATATCCACAGTCCTTACTTCAATGATAAAAGTTATCAAATGAGAGGGGGGGGCTTGGCGAAATTTGAGGAACTTTCCAAGAGGGTTCACCACTGATGAGCCAAGTCCTCTCATTCAATAACTTTTATGATTGCAGTGAGGTCTGTAGAGATAATATTTGATGATTTATGTAAAAAGAAACACATTGCCAAAAATAATTTTTACAAATTTTATAGTTTTATTTATTATTGATTTTTATTATATTTTTTTATTTAGAAACAAAAGATAAAAGACCAAATCCAAATTATTGAAATGTTTGGGACGCTTGGGAACAGCGTTGTTAACATCATCATACAAAAGTACTGAATGATTCAGTTACCGAAACATCACAAACAATTCAATAATTTTTAAGTTGTTTTGTTAACTTTTGTATATTCCAAATTGTATCTCCATGTGTACTTTTCATGTTAGAGGTTGGGTTAGTTTTGATTAAGGACAGGTTAGGTTAGCAAGTCAATGAGGCTGAATGGTTCACAAGAAAATTAAAACAAGCCTGCCATAATACAGCGATGTGAACTATTTTTGACGCATATGATTCTTTTAAATCAATTTCCTACTGTCCTTACTGCAATGATAAAATAATGGGAGGACCTGGCTCATCAGTCCTAGCAGTTTCACCAGTTTAATCTACCATACCGCTGTAATATTGCATTTTTCAATTTTACTTTTATACCGATACTGATGCTGGACTGTTGGAATATATAAAAGGAATATAGATATTGTTTAATTTTCATATATATAATCATACACATAGTTTTGAATTTGTATGATTATACTTTAATAACATTTTTCAAGTTACAAGAAAATAAGCCCTAATCCAAATAATTTATTAGTGTGTGATGTTTCGGCAACATTATTGTCACCATCATCAGACAAAAGATTATTTCTTTTGTCTGATGATGGTGACAATACTGTTGCCGAAACGTCACACACTAATAAATTATTTGGATTAGGTATTATTTTCTTGTATTATAATCTATAATCCAAATTGTACTTTATCATAACATTTTTAAGTTACAAGAAAGAGATTTCAATGGACCTAAGAAATTATTCTTGTCATTTTTAAAGAGCTAATCATAATACAACTCAAGATTTTATTTCTTATTAAAGTCATTGCAAGCACACATTTTGGATAGAGAGAAATTAATATAAAAACAACACAGTGTAATTTACAACATCATTGGGAGATATGTAGAATATTGGCCATCTCCTTGTTTACTGTAATTTGGTTTTAATTAATTTTAATTTATTAATCAACCAGGCACGATATTGAAATATTTGCCCCTAATACAGAGGAAACAACACAGCAAACAAATTAGAACTTAGAATTAAATATTTACCAATTTACATGTATTATTCTACAGAGTTTATGAAATTTATATAGACAAAGTGGCAGATGTAAGAGAGTTAGATCAGGGAACAAATGATGTCTCACTTCTGCAAAGTTCGGACAGTCATAGATAAGGTGAAGAGCAGTTACTGTAACTTGGTCAGTATTGAGCGAGCAGGCAAGCTTACATTGCTGTATTATACGATGCATTAGCACGCCATTAGATTATACTATTTTTGATGCATATAATTCTTTTTAAAATAAATCAATTTTCTACTACCCTTACTGAGATGATAAAATTAACGGGAGGGCCTGGCTCATCAGTGGTGAACCCTCCCAGCGGCAGTTTAATCTACCATATGTATATAATCATGTTTTCTATTCATTGAGTAACTGTTGAATTGATAAGTTTGATTCAAAAATACTATGTTGATATAGTTCCTTTACTGCAATTCCCAACACAATATGAAACCATTCAATTAAAAAATCAATAGTCTGGGTTACTTTATTACCTTTCCCCAACTTGTGTGACTCATTATTTGAAGGTTTTATATCTTATTTGTTCAAGTGTTTGTCTCCTAATAATTCTGGAGATTTTATTTTTCAAATTTATATAATTTTATATAAATCTGATGTGTTGGACCCATCAAATAGCCTTTTGCTCAATATCTCCCTTTGTCTTATAGATAAATAAAAGAAACTTCTTGATTATCAACAAAGAGTTTCAATTCAAATTTTTAATTTTAATTAAGTGGTCTGGGGCTGGCCAAAAGTTTTAGTGTGTTGAACTGTTTTAAAATTTATTTTATTTTAAAAACTATAAAGAGAGAATAGGGTATATTTTACAGAGATTTTATTTTACACTAGTTATTTTTATTTAGAATAAAAATTAGTATGCAATAATACAACTTTTGATCTTATACTTATTTTGAATTTATTTTTCAGTAATTTTCTTTTAAATTATGCCAAATACCCAATTAACGTGTAAATATAATTGCTAAGTTATTTAATAAAACAAGATATATTTGTCAAGGAACATTTAATCATGTCGTATGTTATTAAGAGAAGTTGTTACTTGTACTATACTTCAAACTAATCCTTAAATTTCAAGCAAATGCAGGTATTTATTGTTATTAATTAATTTATAATAATGGCAGCAGTTCACAAATTAGTGAAATTTTAAGAAACAATAAAAAAGTGAGTATATGTTAATATGAAGAAATTACAAACCGTTAATATTAAATTATGCTTCCTAGCTGAAGCAAAAAGAGAAAACAAAAGAATTGGTAATAAAATAAGAAAATAATTTGTACATTTTAAGCGCATAATTAAAGATTTAGATAATGTTTATGTATACTTTTTAATAAATAAGTTTATTTACTTCGTGCGTACAACATTTAACATGATTATACTTTAAACCTGGTCACATCGCAAGCAGAACTTTAAAAATGGTTAAATCAACGATTTATCAAAAGGAAAAGTCCGAAAAATGTCTATATTTTAGAATAGAATTTTAAAATATTATAACTTTTGAGCTTTATTTTTCAAACCTTTATTTGGTAAAATAAGAATTCAATTTTCTCATTTATAAACTCTTAAAGTATTCTATGACTCAAATAATGGGGAAAAGTTGGGTAAAATAATTGATACACAGGAGATAATTCCCTTTTAAATCTCCGACTATTCATGTATCTTATAATAAATATCACTTAATGCAGAATTCAAAATTTAATAATTCAATTATTTTATTCTATTTGTTTTAGTTTTTCTAGTGCATAGGTTTATATATATATACTAGGCGAATGACCCGGCTTCGCCCGAGAAATCCCTTGGGTGCAATTTCCTTCATACTAAAAGTATATCAATAATAAATATCAGAAGTGCCATAGAATAGCAATACAGAAGTAACACATAAACTACAGGAAAAAAGTGTGTGTGATGGCAAAAATTGTATTATATTAGTGTTTAGGTATTTGATTTAATTAATATAGTTGATATAATAATATATGAACACAAAGCAATAACGCGCCATCTATACATATAAAATAAAAGGATTTAAAAGCGCGAATGTTTCTATTATAATAGTATTGATATATAATCTAAATGAGTTTTAAAAATTGTTTTAAAAAAATGCATCGGGGACCGGAACCCGGGCCGCCCGCGTGGCAGGCGAGCATTCTACCACTGAACCACCGATGCTTTAAAAAAATGGCCATATTCAGGTATTCATTCCATTCCGGATTAGTCCGCGTAAAAAAAGTTCTTCAAACGAAAAAAAGAAATAGCCAAAAATACTAATCAAAATGCAGCCGAAAATTTTCCTCAGGTTTATAAAAAGCGACATGCAAAATTTGGTACCAATTGGTTCAGTAGTTTTTGAGTTTATCGCGAAACAGACAGACAGAAATTGACTTTTATATATATATAGATCCTTCCTTATCCTTCCTTATCCTTATATCTATAAAAATGAAATGCGAAATCGATGTTTGTTATCGCTTCACGCAAAATCTACTGACTCAATCATTATGGAATTTCGCATGTAGGTAGCTGAAGATTTCGTTTAACATATAGGCTATTCAAAAAACTAAAAAAGTTAATGTGCTTTTTTTTTTAAATAAAAACCAAAAAGCGTTATTTCCAGTCTTTTACCGCTTGGGCGCAGCACTGGTCGCGACGATAAATGAATTTAATTGGTTAATAATTAACACGTGGTTTGTTTACACGATGAATGTTAGTTTGTTCACACGATGAATGTTTTTAAAAGGTAAGATTATCCAATCGCCGTGATACTATTGGAAGTTATTTACTATACTACTGGGAAGATTTCTGGTTTGAATTTGATTTGAAATAAATATTCTTTGCAATTTTATTTGCAAATTTTCTACTTTCACTCGCAAGCAGCGCCTCTAGCGGTGTCTGGTGAAATTATATTTATAAATTGTAACAATGCTTAAAATGCTTTCCAAGTATAATATAAATTTATTATTTGAGAATTTAGTAATATAATATTCCAATGACGTAAAAAATACTTGGCATTTCAATATTAATATATATTTAAAGAAAAAATTGTAACGATTTTGTGTTAAATGTTAAAATGTAATTTTAAAATATATTTTTACATTGTTAATTTAATTTGCTGTTGTTTTATAAAAATGATGATGCAACTTTAATTGTTGTTGTGAAAATATCTTTATTTACGGAGATGCTAACCATAATAAATGATTTTCGAGCCCCTAATTGTTGTTGTGACAGAGAGAAAATATGGTTTTACGGGCTACTAACCAAAAGTTATGATTTTTGAGCCCAAGCGCGATGTCAGGTGGCAAGGGACCCTAGGATCTGGCGGCAGGAGATGTGTCGCAGGGGTAGTGGAAACGTTGGGCAAGCAGGGGAACAGCGCCAGGGTGCAGTGAGGCAGGAGCATTGAATTGGCCAGGAATCCAGTAGAAGTGGCAGATGGAATTGGAGGCAGAAGGTCCTTGAAGCCTAGAACTTGAGGGCCCTAGACTTCAGGATGGGGCAGCTTGAGGCTCTCGACTCGTGCTTGTCAGGAAGGCCCTTGGAGCAGCAGTTGGCACATTTGGAGGTGCGCTGGTCAACAATGGATGGGCAGGCACGGCCTTCATGGCCGTCTTGACCGCAGTGGAAGCACTTAGGAGCTCTGGAGCATTGGGAAGAGTTGTGGCCGAAGCCACAGCAGCGGAAGCAGACGCGGGCGCGGATGGACTCCTCGAAGTTGAGGATTACTCCATCCACCACGATTCTTCCGCGAACTCCCAGGGCTCTAAAGGTCTTGAGGTCCACCTCGATGAAGGCGGTGCAGGTCCCGCTTCTGGGTGCAGAACGGTGCGCCACACGTACCACCTTGTCCCCAGGAAGTTTTTTAACAGCAGCTGTTTCCAGGAAGGTCTCCTCAATTGTGGAGTTGAATATCTCCTCATCCACTTTGAAAAGGCAGATCCGTGGCAGGATTGTTGTTGTTTATTATCGTTTGTTTATATAAAAAAAAATACATTGTATGTGATGATGATAACAAAAATGAAATTTTAAATCCCTATCTCTATATATATAAAAGTCAATTTCTGTCTGTCTGTTTCGCGATAAACTCAAATACTACTGAACCAATTGGTACCAAATTTTGCATGTCGCTTTTTATAAACCTGAGGAAAATTTTCGGCTGCATTTTGATTAGTATTTTTGGCTTTTTCTTTTTTTCATTTGAAGAACTTTTTTTTATGCGGACTAATCCGGAATGGAATGAATATCTATATATGGCCATTTTTTTAAAGCATCGGTGGTTCAGTGGCAGAATGCTCGCCTGCCACGCGGGCGGCCCGGGTTCGATTCCCGCCGATGCATTTTTTAAAACAATTTTTAAAATCATTTATATTATATATAATATAAATATATATTATTATATCAACTATATTAATTAAATCAAATATCTGTTATATCGTTTCTTACGTCCCATTTGAGGACATCTCGATTTCGAATCCGGTCTAGCTCAGCAGTAATAACATTTCCAATTATATACCACAGTAGATTAAATTTAAACACATACACACAAAAAATATATAATACACACCAAGGATTTACATGTGATCTGTAGTTAATTATGGATAAAATAATACCAACACACTTTTAGAATATTAAAACATTAAAATTTATTCACCTCTATGGAAATTACATTTTTTTTTATTTGTAGACAGCATGAGTGGGCTTAAAAAAATTATTCCTTTCTGCAAATTATAAAATTCCTATATAAAAAAATGACTGAGAACCTACAATTTGGTAATTCAACCAAGTTACCGCATCTAGATAAAATGATCAATCGAGATGACTAATATTAAAAAAAAAAACATAAAGGCCAATACCTCTATTCACTATATATCTTATATAGTCGAGTCTACCAAAAAATTACTATCTATTATGGCTATTACCATTCTTTCTAAACGTACCTCTTTAGGTCTACACATTAAAATCTTATAATGTAGTTGGACTTACCAATATCTTCTCTACATACCATTCTCAAACTTGTCTTGGCAACCCCCATGGCCCAGGACGTCCCGTTTGGTCGCCTTCCCCGATAAGAACTAACCGTTATTTTTCAAAAACAGCCCCCCCCCCTAGGTAAATCGTCATCTTCCTACAGAGTAAAAAAATAATTGCATAAATATTCTTAGAATATTTATTTAAAAATAATAGTAATAAAGAAAATATTATTTTTTTTAAAAGAATATTTAAAAAATAATAATAAGGACAATAAAATATAATTTTTTTTTTAATTTAAAGTAATTTCTTCTTTAAGAAATTCGAAATTAAACTTCTTCTTATATTAGGAAAAAGTTTGAGATAATAATAAAAATTGATAAAATAAGGATAATAAATATAAAAAATTTTCTTTAAAATTAAAGTAATTTCTTCTTTAAGAAATTAGAAATTAAACTTCTTCTTATATTAAAAGAAAAGTTTGAGATAATAATAAATTGATAAAATATAACACGTCTATCCCTTAATATTGTAACGTAGAAATCAAGCCTTGAAATATCCTAAGATGTAAAAGTATTTATTGATGACGTCACAGCGACGAGTCGACAATTATTAACAGGTCAGCCAAACTATTTACCGCTAGAGAATCTTAAGCAAGCAAGCAAAGAAATATTTTAAAGATGATTTCACGAATACAGATTAATATATATTTTTATAATCTGTAGAATATATTTTCATTGAATAATATTAAATTAAATAATAAAATATTTCTTTGTCACATAGCCTCCTCCTATAGAGAGCTTCGACCCGATGCTCAGCAGGAAACTTACATCGTCAGTCTTAAGAACTAGTACTATGGCCAGGGATATTTTCTGGTGACTGCGGTGGATGTCTTCTTTCAGTTGAGATATCTTCTTCATGAGGGCTTGGTAGGTCTATGTTTACGTCAATGTAGTTTTTTATTTCCACTGTGGTCGGCAAGGGAGGATTTTATAAATTTGCGGCCTTACCTCCCATATGGTCTATCATCTAGTTTTAATGGCGGGGCGTCCAGCTAGATCTTCTAGCAGGTGAGAAATGTTGTCTGTTTCGACCGGGGTATGAGGTAGGGCTTCGGTAGCGAGTGAAATTTTTCCTCGATGATTCGTCATTGGGGTCCTGAGATTCGGCTCGAAAGTTATAGAATACCATTGCGTCTTGCTTTCTTTGGAAATATTCTTTTCTCCTTTCCTCATTGTGTCTCTTGCTGTCACGGCAATAGCGGACGACGTGACCTGGGCGTCCGCAGTAGAAACAGATTGGCCTTCCCTCAGTTGTCCGCCATTCATTGGTGTCGCGTCTTCTTCCTTGTTTCTGATATTGAGATGTAGGATGGGGATTTCTAGGTTGAGCCTCAAATTTAGGATTTGATACCGGCCTTGGTGCTTGAGGGGGACTTATTATAGGTTCTGATATAGGCGCCAAGGTCTTTACGATCTCTTCCCTTACTAAATCTTCATTGGCAGCGAATTTAGGCTCCTCTTGAGGAGAGTCCAATGCTTGCTGTATCTCTTCGCGGACAATTTTTCGGATCAGCGATGACAAATCTTCTCCGTCATCCTGGTCACAGAGAGAATCTACATTTGGTAGGCGCTCGTACCTGGTTGGGGTAACTCGCCTACAACGGAGCGCTTCGACACGGCGACATTCTGTAATGAATTGCTCGGTGCTCTGTACATCCCTTGGTAGGAGTGCTTGATAATGCTCCTCAGCTATCCCCTTCATGAGGTGGGAGATTTTATCTTCTACGCTCATTTGAGGATCAACCTCTTTGCACAAGCACAGGACATCCTGGATGTAAAATTCGGTACTTTCACCTTTTAATTGTGCCCGTGTTTTAAGTTTCTTCTCCGCTTGCAATTTTGAATTTTCTTTTTTTCCGAACACATTCTCTAATTGAGATGTGAATTCCTTCCAAGTCTGGATGCCTTCTTCGTTGTTCTCAAACCATTTGAGAGCAGTTCCAGACAGATAAAAATAAACTTTAGTAAGACAAAGGGTTTCGTCCCAATGGTTGTACCTTGCCACAAGTGCATAACCTTTTAACCATTTTTGGAGATCTTCACCATCCTCCCCGGAGAAAATGGAAGGGTTCCTTGGCAAATGTTGAACAACGTAGTTGCTTACCTGAGTACCTTCCTTCTTTACATTCATAGAAGTTTCTTCTAGTT